AGAGTCACTTGGGTCCTAGTGTAGGGAGAGTTACTAGTGTTACTTGTGGTCCGGGTGTGGGGAGAGTTACTAGTGTTACTTGTGGTCCAGGTGTAGGGAGAGTTACTAGTGTTACTTGTGGTCCAGGTATAGGGGGAGTTACTAGTGTTACTTGTGGTCCATGTATAGGGAGAGTTACTAGTTTCACTTGTGGTCCAGGTGTAGGGAGAGTTACTAGTGTCACTTGTGGTCCAAGTGTAGGGAGAGTTTCTAGTGATACTTGTGGCCCAAGTGTAGGGAGAGTTACTATTGTCACTTGTGGTCCAGGTGTAGGGAGAGTTACTAGTGTTACTTGTGGTCCTAGTGTAGGGAGGGTTACTAGTGTTACTTGTGGTCCTAGTGTAGGGAACGTTTCTAGTGATACTTGTGGCCCAAGTGTAGGGAGAGTTTTTATTGTCACTTGTGGTCCAGGTGTAGGGAGAGTTACTAGTGTTATTTGTGGCCTAAGTGTAGGGAGAGTTACTAGTGTTACTTATGGTGCAGGTATAGGGAGAGTTACTAGTGTTACTTGTGGCCTAAGAGTAGGGAGGGTTACTAGTGTTACTTGTGGTCCAACAGAAGGTAGAGCTACTAGTGTTACTTTTGGTCTAAGTGAAGGGAGAGTTACTAATGTTACTTGTGGCCCAAGTGTAGGGAGAGTTGCTAGTGTTACTTGTGGTCCAGGTGTAGGGAGAGTTACTATTGTCACTTTTTGTCCAGGTATAGGGAGAGTTACTAGTGTTACTTGTGGTCCTAGTGTAGGGATAGTTACTAGTGTTATTTGTGGCCCAAGTGTAGGGAGAGTTACTAGTGTTACTTGTGGTCCAAGTGTAGGGAGAATTACTAGTGTTACTTGTGGCCTAAGTGTATGGAGAGTTACTTGTGTTACTTGTGGTCCAGGTATAGGGAGAGTTACTAGTGTTACTTGAGGTTAAAGTGTAGGGAGAGTAACTAGTGTCACTTGTGGTCCAGGTGTAGGGAGAGTTACTAGTGTTACTTGTGGCCTAAGTGAAGGGAGAGTTACTTGTGTTACTTGTGATCCAGGTATAGGGAGAGTTACTAGTGTTACTTGTGGTCCAAGTGTAGGAAGAGTTACTAGTGTTACTTGTGGTCCAAGTGAAGTGAGTGTTACTAGTGTTACTTGTGGTCCAAGTGTAGGGAGAGTTACTAGTGTCACTTGTGGTCCAAGTGAAGTGAGAGTTACTAGTGTTACTTGTGGCCCAAGTGTAGGGAGAGTTACTAGTGTTACTTGTGGTCCTAGTGTAGGGAGAGTTACTAGTGTCACTTGTGGTCCAAGTGTAGGGAGAGTTACGAGTGTTACTTGTGGTCCAGGTATAGGGAGAGTTACTAGTGTTACCTGTGGTCCAGGTGTAGGGAGAGTTACTAGTGTTACTTGTGGTCCAGGTATAGGGAGAGTTACTAGTGTTACCTGTGGTCCAGGTGTAGGGAGAGTTACTAGTGTTACTTGTGGTCCAAGTGAAGGGAGAGTTACTCTTGTCACTTGTGGCCCAAGGAGAGTTACTAGTGTTACTTGTGGTCCAGGTTATAGGGGGAGTTACTAGTGTTACTTGTGGTCCATGTATAGGGAGAGTTACTAGTGTTACTTGAGGTCCAAGTGAAGTGAGTGTTACTAGTGTTACTTGTGGTCCAAGTGTAGGGAGAGTTACTAGTGTCACTTGTGGTCCAAGTGAAATGAGAGTTACTAGTGTTACTTGTGGCCCAAGTGTAGGGAGAGTTACTAGTGTTACTTGTGGTCCTAGTGTAGGGAGAGTTACTAGTGTCACTTGTGGTCCACGTTAAGGGAGAGTTACTAGTGTCACTTGTGGCCTAAGTGTAGGGAGAGTTACTAGTGTTACTTGTGGTCCAGTTATAGGGAGAGTTACTAGTGTTACATGTGGTCCAAGTGTAGGGAGAGTTACTAGTGTTACTTGTGGTCCAAGTGAAGTAAGAGTTACTAGTGTTACTTGTGGTCCAGGTGTAGGGAGAGTTACTAGTGTTACTTGCGGCCCAAGTGAAGGGAGAGTTACTAGTGTCACTTGTGGTCCAGGTGTAGGGAGAGTTTCTAGTGTTACGTGTGGTCCAAGTGTAGGGAGAGTTACTAGTGTTGCTTGTGCTCCAGGTGTAGCGAGAGTTTCTAGTGTTACTTGTGACCCAAGTGTAGGGAGAGTTACTAGTGTTACTTGCGGCCCAAGTGAAGGGAGAGTTACTAGTGTCACTTGTGGTCCAGGTGTAGGGAGAGTTTCTAGTGTTACTTGTGGTCCAAGTGTAGGGAGAGTTACTAGTGTTGCTTGTGCTCCAGGTGTAGCGAGAGTTTCTAGTGTTACTTGTGGTTCAGGTATAGGGAGCGTTACTAGTGTTACTTGTGGTCTAGGTGTAGGGAGAGTTACTAGTGTTACTTGTGGCCTAAGTGTAGGGAGGGTTACCAGTGTTACTTGTGGTCCAACTGAAGGGAGAGTTACTAGTGTTACTTGTGGTCCAAGTGAAGGGAGAGTTACTAATGTCACTTGTGGTCCAAGTGTAGGGAGAGTTACTGATGTTACTTGTGGTCCAGGTATAAGGAGAGTTACTAGTGTTACTTGTGGTCCAGGTATATGGAGAGTTACTAGTGTTACTTGTGGCCTAAGTGTAGGGAGGGTTGCCAGTGTTACTTATGGTCCAACTGAAGGGAGAGTTACTAATGTCACTTGTGGCCCAAGTGTAGGGAGAGTTACTGATGTTACTTGTGGTCCAGGTATAGGGAGAGTTACTAGTGTTACTTGTGGTCCAGGTATATGGAGAGTTACTAGTGTTACTTGTGGCCGGAGTGTAGGGAGAGTTACTAGTGTTACTTGTGGTCCAGGTGTAGGGAGAGTTACTAGTGTTACTTGTGGTCCTAGTGTAGGGAGAGTTAGTAGTGTTACTTGTGGTCCTAATGTAGGGAGAGTTACTAGTGTTACTTGTGGCCCAAGTGTAGGGAGAGTTACTAGTGTTACTAGTAGTCCAGGTATAGGGAGAGTTACAAGCGTTACTTGTGGTCCAGGTGTAGCGAGAGTCCTTAGCGTTACTTGTGGCCCAAGTGTAGGGAGAGTTACTAGTGTTACTTGTGGTCCAGGTATAGGGAGAGTTACTAGTGTTACGTGCGGTCCAGGTGGAGGGAGAATTACTAGTGTTACTTGTGGTCCAAGTGAAGGGAGAGTTACTAGTGTCACTTGTGGCCCAAGTGTAGGGAGTTACTAGTGTTACTTGTGGTCCTGGTATAGGGGGAGTTACTAGTGTTACTTGTGGTCCAGGTTTAGGGAGAGTTACTATTGTCACTTGCGGTCCAGGTGTAGGGAGAGTTACTAGTGTCACTTGTGGTCCAAGTGTAGGGAAAGTTTCTAGTGTTACTTGTGGCCCAAGTTTCGGGAGAGTTACTATTGTCACTTGTGGTCCAGGTATTGAGAGTGTTACTAGTGTTACTTGTTGTCCTAGTGTAGGGACAGTTACTAGTGTTACTTGTGGCCTTAGTGTAGGGAGAGTTACTAGTGTTACTTGTGGTCCTAGTGTAGGGAGAGTTTCTAGTGTCACTTGTGGTCCAGGTTTAGGGAGAGTTACTAGTGTTACGTGTGGCCTAAGTGTAGGGAGAGTTACTAGTGTTACTTGTGGTCCAGGTATAGGGAGAGTTACTAGGGTTACTTGTGGTCCAGTTGTAGGGAGAGTTACTAGTGTTATTTGTGGCCCTGGTGTAGGGAGAGTTACTAGTGTCAGTTGTGGTCCATGTAAAGGGAGAGTTACTAGTGTTACTTGTGGCCTTAGTGTAGGGAGAGTTACTAGTGTTACTTGTGGTCCTAGTGTAGGGAGAGTTTCTAGTGTCACTTGTGGTCCAGGTGTAGGGAGAGTTACTAATGTTACGTGTGGCCTAAGTGTAGGGAGAGTTACTAGTGTCACTTGTGGTCCAAGTGTAGGGAGAGTTACTAGTGTTACTTGTGGTCCAATTGTAGGGAGTTAAGTGAGAGGCAGGTAAGGACGTAAATCGGCGGGGTGGTTAGGTAGGCGGTGAGGGGGAGGCAGAAGGGAGGTTAGGTAGGCAGTGAGGGGATACAGACAGGAAGGGGAGGTAGGCAAGGAGGGTAGTTATGCAGGGAATGGAGGCGAGCAGGCAAGGAAGGGCAGCAAACAGGCAGGGTGGTTAGTTAGGTTGGGAGGTGAGGTAGGTATTGAGGGGAGGCAGGCAGTGGGAGGAGGTAGGAAGGCATCACTTGGCAGGTCAGACAGCATCACCAACATAAACACATGATCAAAACAAGTCAACAAATACCGACCTAGTATAAAGAAGTTGGGGGTTAATGACTCACGGTGTTCAGGTAGCAACAAGCAAGTGGGAGCCAGAGTGATAATGACCTAAAGAGGAACTTATAATGGTGACCCCTAAAGGTGTAGTTAAGTAGTGATAATTAGAGGACATGTGACGGATATAACTAGGAGGCGGAGATGAGGTGAGTCAGTTGAGGTCAGCTCTACTGTACAAACTAATCTGGCAGAGGAGTTTGTCTCACTGTAACTTATACAGGAACTTACCCCTATGGCTTAGGTGCTATATAAACTTACGTCTAGAGTTTATGTACCGTATACAACTCACCTCTACATTATGTACCGTATACAACTCTAACTCACCACTAGAGTTTCGTGTACCGTATATAACTCACCTCTAAGAGTTTAGTGTACCGTAATGTAACTGACCTCAAGTTTAGTGTACCGTATATAACTCACCTCTAAGAGTTTAGTGTACCGTAATGTAACTGACCTCAATTTTAGTGTACCGTATATAACTCACCTCTAAGAGTTTAGTGTACCGTAATGTAACTGACCTCAAGTTTAGTGCACCGTATATAACTCACCTCTAAGAGTTTAGTGTACCGTAATGTAACTGACCTCAAGTTTAGTGCACCGTATATAACCGTACAGTAAACAAGATACCTGACATGCATTTAACCTACAATTCTCAACCCCATTTTTTTGGTCTGCTAAATCTGTATCTTGCTTCTATCATCAAATCTGTTTTTATACCGATATTCCCCAACCTGCTCTGTGTACTGCCCAGGCATAGACAGTACACGATATGCCCCAACCTGCTCTGTGTACTGCCCAGGCATAGACAGTACACGATATGCCCCAACCTGCTCTGTGTACTGCCCAGGCATAGACAGTACACGATATTCCCCAACCTGCTCTGTGTACTGCCCAGGCATAGACAGTACACGATATTCCCCAACCTGCTCTGTGTACTGCCCAGGCATAGACAGTACACGATATTCCCCAACCTGCTCTGTGTACTGCCCAGGCATAGACAGTACACGATATTCCCCAACCTGCTCTGTGTACTGCTGCCCAGGCATAGACAGTACACGATATGCCCCAACCTGCTCTGTGTACTGCCCAGGCATAGACAGTACACGATATGCCCCAACCTGCTCTGTGTACTGCCATAGACAGTTCACGTGTTCCCCAACCTGTATTGCTGCCCAGGCATAGACAGTACGATATGCCCCAACCTGCTCTGTGTACTGCCCAGGCATAGACAGTACACGATATGCCCCAACCTGCTCTGTGTACTGCCCAGGCATAGACAGTACACGATATTCCCCAACCTGCTCTGTGTACTGCTCAGGCATAGACAGTACACGATATTCCCCAACCTGCTCTGTGTACTGCCCAGGCATAGACAGTACACGATATTCCCCAACCTGCTCTGTGTACTGCCCAGGCATAGACAGTACACGATATTCCCCAACCTGCTCTGTGTACTGCCCAGGCATAGACAGTACACGATATGCCCCAACCTGCTTCTGGTTCTGCTCTGTGTACTGCCCAGGCATAGACAGTACAATGATATGCCCTGTTCTGCGCCTGTGTACCGCTCCAGGCATAGACAGTACACGATGCCTGTTTCTGTGTACTGCCCAGGCATAGACAGCACACGATATTCCTGTTCCGTTTTGTGTACTGCCCAGGCATAGTATTGTAGTACACGATATGCCCTGGTTCCTGCTCTTGTGTACTGCCCAGGCATAGACAGTACACGATATGCCCTGTTCCGCTCTGTGTACTGCCCAGGCATAGACAGTACACGATATTCTTGTTCCTGCTCTGTGTACTGCCCAGGCATGACAGTAACGATATTCTGTCCCGTTCTGTGTACTGCCCAGGCATAGACAGTACAATGATATCTTCAACCTGTTTGTGTACTGCCCAGGCATAGACAGCAACATATTCCCCTTACTTGCTCTGTGTACTGCCCAGGCATAGACAGCACACGATATTCCCCAATTTGCTCTGTGTACCGCCCAGTACAGGCAGTATAATGATGCCCTAACCCGTTTCTGTGTACTGCCCAGGCATAGACAGTACACGATATTCCCCAACCTGCTCTGTGTACTGCCCAGGCATAGGCAGTACACGATATGCCCCAACCTGCTCTGTGTACTGCTCAGGCATAGGCAGTACACGATATGCCCCAACCTGCTCTGTGTACTGCCCAGGCATAGACAGTACACGATATGCCCCAACCTGCTCTGTGTACTGCCCAGGCATAGACAGTACACGATATGCCCCAACCTGCTCTGTGTACTGCCCAGGCATAGACAGTACACGATATGCCCCAACCTGCTCTGTGTACTGCCCAGGCATAGGCAGTACACAGTGGGATGAAGGAACGAAATAACATAAATAATGATGATGGAATTATGAAGAAAGATGACGATAATAGAGAGGAGAGGGAGTGAGAGGGAGAGGAGAGGGAGTGAAGGAGAGGGAGAAGGGAGTGAGAGTGAGAGAGAGGAAAGGGAGTGAAGGAGAGAGAGATGGGAGTGAGAGTGGTAGAGAGAAGAGTGAGAGAGAGGAGAGGGAGTGAAGGAGAGGCAGAAGGGAGTGAGAGAGAGAGGGGAGTGAAGGGAGAGGGAGAAGGAGTGAGAGTGAGACAGAAGGAGGAGAGGAGGGAGAAGGGAGCGGAGAGGAGGGGAGAGGAAAGGGAGGAAGGAGAGGCAGAAGGAGTGAGAGAGACAGAAGGGAGTGAGAGTGAGGGGAGGAGGGAGGGGAGGGAGGGGAGGGAGTGAGAGAGGGGAGAAGGGGAGCGAGAGAGAGGGAGGAGAAAGAGGAGAGAGAGGGAGTGAAGAAGGAGAGAGGGGGGGAGAGAGGAACGGAGGAGGAGGGGAGGAGAAGGGAAGATACGGAGAGGAGGGAGAGGGAAGGAGTGAGAGAGAGGAGAGGGAGAATAGAGTGAAAGGGAAGGAGAGGGGGTGTGAGAGAGAGGGGGGGAGGGAAGGGAGTTAGAGTGAGATTAAGAAGCGAGTGAGAGAGAAAGAGGGGGACAGCAAAAGGGGGTGAGATAGAGAGGGACAAGTGAGTGAGAAAGAAGGAGAGTGGAAGGGAGTGAGGGAGAGGGAAAGGGTAAGGGAGTAAAAGGGAAATGGTAGTAAGAAGGAAGGAGAGGGGAAGAGAGTGAGACAGGAGAGGGAGGAGAGGGTGAGGGAGAGAGGAGACAGGGCTCACCTCCCTGATCCTACAGGTCTCCAGGTGGTCTCGCTCGTAGGTGAACTCGTTGATCACCCGCGTCCCACACGTGTGTAAGTTAAGGGCGTGGCACGCCTCTGGGGACAGACATACCAGTTGTCAGTTAAGAGAACACGTGGAACACAAGGTTACATGTGATAGACAAGGTGGCACGTGGCACACAAGGTGGCACGTGGGAGACATAATAGGTGTAATACCCATAGTACAATATATATATATATATATATATATATATATATATATATATATATATATATATATATATATATATATATATATATATATATATATATATATATATATATATATATATATATATATATATGGACAAGATCAGTTAGCTGTAAATAACTAAAAATAACTCATCAGATAAATTAGTGAGGTAAGTTTGATGACATGTGCTAGTGAGTGTTGAGTCTCACCTTCACCAGTAAATAGCGTCGAGGGTGAGCAAGTGATGTCACTGAGTGACTTATTATGGTCTCCAAAAAGTTTGATATTTTAGCAAAAGTAATGATGATATAAATATGTGGTGAAGGAGGAGGTAGTTGGCTCTGGCAACACGACCGCTGAATGTTTAGATGTGAACACATAAACAGTGTAATCTAAGCTCATGTAATGCGGTGCTCTTATGAGGCCTATAATACTTGACTGTCTGTGTCTCTCTGTTGTACCAGTTTTCAATGTACACATTCTGAATTAGTCAACAATGTGGAGAAGGATGTATGTTAGTCACTAGAGAGGATTATCACTTCTCTAAGCCTGATATTAATAAGTAATCTAGCGCCAAAAACAAATCTTGAAACACGATACAATTTTAATACTTCACTTTATAAATCCAAGTGGGCGTGACGTCATCAGAGTTAGACATCAGCAGCCGGAAGCGAAGACGGACGGACAACCTGGGACATAATTTCTAGCAATACGCCCGGAACACATGTTGATATTTAACACCTTAATGACAGAGGAGGAGGGGTAGGGGGAGGGGAAGTCGCTAAAACCCACAAAACCAATAAAATATGTACTTACAGTATAATAGGAAATCATATTTAGTCAGAAATTGGTCATCACTTTGGATAAAATCAAGAAGATAAATACAAGAAAATGTCAGGATATATTATAAACTCCGAAATTATCACCAAGAGAAGTTGAACGATGCAGGTGGATGAGACTGGAACAATGCCATGAGAAGGTTTAGACACAAGCAGAATTCATTTTACAATAAACACAGAAGCAAGTTTTTTAAATGTTTTTTTTCCACTATAATTTGGATTGATGTTCATGAAATTTTTGTAAATATGAATTAAATTAATAATAGTTGAAGAATAAAAAATAAATGATTGAGAAACTCGTGATTCTTCATTTACCGAGTGAAACTGTACAGTATATCGAAGCCTGAACACAGCGGGGAGTATACCTGGGATATGATTGGCTGGACTTGAGAACGACATACGACAAGCGAACAGAGTTTTATTTGTTGTTGTAATAATGTAAATACTAACATTGTCACGCGCTTAATCAAAGAACTTAGTTCTTGAAGCTCAGGAATAACATCCTTCAGTTCAGCCCCACATTTTAAAATTTCTTAAGAGTAAGTAAAATTGTGAAGTCCTGGGCATTAGTTGTGTTAGTGCTGGGCATTAGTTGTGTTAGTGTCGGGCATTAGTCGTGTTAGTGCTGGGCATTAGTCGTGTTAGTGTCGGGCATTAGTTGTGTTAGTGTCGGGCATTAGTTGTGTTAGTGTCGGGCTAATATTAGTTGTGTTAGTGTCGGGCATTAGTTGTGTTAGTGTCGGGCATTAGCTGTGTTAGTGTCAGGCTGTTGTGTTAGTGTCGGGCATTAGTTGTGTTAGTGTCGGGCTAATATTAGTTGTGTTAGTGTCGGGCATTAGTTGTGTTAGTGTCGTAGTGTCAGGCTAATATTAGTTGTGTTAGTGTCGGGCATTGGTTGTGTTAGTGTCAGGCTAATATTGGTTGTGTTAGTGTCGGGCGTGTGTGTGTTAGTGTCGGGCTAATATTAGTTGTGTTAGTGTCGGGCATTAGTTGTGTTAGTGTCGGGCATTAGTTGTGTTAGTGTCGGCTAATATTGTTGTGTTAGTGTCGGGCTAATATTGTTGTGTTAGTGTCAGGCTAATAATAGTGTCGGGCATTAGTTGTGTTAGTGTCGGGCATTAGTTGTGTTGAGTGTCGGGCTAATATGTTGTGTTAGTGTCGGGCATGGTTGTGTTAGTGTCAGGCTAATATTGTTGTGTTAGTGTCGGGCATTAGTTGTGTTAGTGTCAGGCTAATATTTGTGTTAGTGTCATTAGTTGTGTTGGTGTCGGGCGTCGGGCATTAGTTGTGTTAGTGTCAGGCTAATATTAGTTGTGTTAGTGTCGGGCATTAGTTGTGTTAGTGTCAGGCTAATATTAGTTGTGTTAGTGTCGGGCGTGGTTGTGTTAGTGTCAGGCTAATATTGGTTGTGTTAGTGTCGGGCATTAGTTGTGTTGAGTGTCAGGCTAATATTAGTTGTGTTAGTGTCGGGCATTAGTTGTAGTGTGGTAATATTAGTTGTGTAGTGTCGGGCATTAGTTGTGTTGAGTGTCGGGCATTAATATTAGTTGTGTTAGTGTCGGGCATTAGTGTGTGTGTAGGCTAGTTGTGTTAGTGTCGGGCATTGTTGTGTTAGTGTCGGGCTAATATTAGTGTCGGGCGTGGTTGTGTTAGTGTCGGGCATTAGTTGTGTTAGTGTCGGGCTAATATTGTGTTAGTGTCGGGCATTAGTTGTGTTAGTGTCGGCTAATGGTTGTGTTAGTGTCATTAGTGTCGTGGTTGTGTTAGTGTCGGGCATTAGTTGTGTTAGTGTCTTATTAAAGTTAGTGTCGGGCATTAGTTGTGTTAGTGTCGGGCATTAGTTATTAGTTGTGTTAGTGTCGGGCTAATATTGGTTGTGTTAGTGTCGGGCATTAGTTGTGTTAGTGTCAGGCTAATATTGGTTGTGTTAGTGTCGGGCATTAGTTGTGTTAGTGTCGGGCATTAGTTGTGTTAGTGTCGGGCATTAGTTGTGTTAGTGTCGGGCATTGGTTGTGTTAGTGTCGGGCATTAGTTGTGTTAGTGTCGGGCATTAGTTGTGTCGGGCATTAGTTGTGTTAGTGTCGGGCAGTTAGTTTGTGTTAGTGTCGGGCATTAGTTGTGTTAGTGTCGGGCGTCGGTTGGTTAGTGTCGGGCATTAGTTGTGTTATTGTCGGGCATTGGTTGTGTTAGTGCTGGGCATTAGTTGTGTTAGTGTCGGGCTAATATTGGTTGTGTTAGTGTCGGGCATTAGTTGTGTTAGTGTCGGGCAGTGTCGGGCATTAGTTGTGTTAGTGTCGGGCATTAGCTGTGTTAGTGTCGGGCATTAGTTGTGTTAGTGTCGGGCATGAAGCTGTGTTAGTGTCGGGCATTAGTTGTGTTAGTGTCGGGCATTAGCTGTGTTAGTGCTGCTCATATACTCGTTTCGGTTTGGCCCGCATAACATATGTCTTCAACTGGTACTTGTTTATATTCTTCCAATAGTTTTGCGGCAACACTTTTGGCTGCTAAGAACATATAACTTATAAATTGAATGGAAAACTTGAATTAAAGGAATGGACTGACAGCCCTTCAATTTTTTGCAGTCAATCAAACGAATCATGATCCCAGTTTTCTATTCTTCCTCTTTACATAATTGTCAACAAATAGCCTCACCGCAATACTTTAGTCACTGTTCGGTCGGGATCACTTTACCATAAATTGAAAAACGGCAGAATCTCTTGGAAATAAAATAAAAATGAAATTTAAAGCAGCCAAGGGAGGTAGACGGCCAAGAAAAGAAAACAAGAGAATTGTGGATTGCATTCTTTCTTAATTTCTTACACTTCAACATTTGTCACAGTTGTAGACGTTTTATACAGGGAGTGTGTCGAACAATGTCCTTCCTCAAAGCCCAGCCATAAAATTTGTATTTAAGTCAAAAGTGCATTTATGAAACTACAATTTCACAAAATGCAGACATCGTATTATGAAAATATATTAACACTGAAGCTTGAAATGATTGAAGACTAGTCAGGGAGCTACAACTTTCCACCAAACCCGCAGATAAATGCACAAACTGAGTGTCACTGACGCTCGGGAAAAAACTTGATATTACTGTATATTGATGGACTGCACCCGGAAGGTAATATACTGTATCGTTCACCTTGTTTATAAAGAGAATAACATGCCACTATACTAAGCTTGAATAAAATGAACATCACTGAGCGAAGTATTGTAGAACATGTCCGTTATTAATTATACTTATCAGTCTACGTAAAGGTGCTGTAGAGTACTATAAGGGGATATAATTATTGACGACAAGTGTAATTACTAACTCTTCACGGTGCTGTGTTTAAATGGAACCAAATTAGGTAGAGTTACAATTATTAAATAAGAATTAATTTAATTATTTAGGGTGTTAGAGTTAAGGTTTGTTAATTGTGGTTAAGGTCTGGAAATAAGAGAATATTCAAAGCTTTAAATTGGTAAATTTTCATATTTCCTAATCTTAACTCTACGTCGTTTGGTTCCATTTAAATAGAACACCTCGCAGAACACGCGCTCAAAGACCTGCAGAGTTGTTGAGGTACAATACTACATTAACATCAACATAACCCTGAGCACCAGTCAACCTAAACTCCTCATAATTATATTGTCTGGTGAGAAATCTACTACTGATGTGGCTCAAGGGCTTTAATTGTTGAAGCGCAGTGGTGTTTGTTGTATTGTCTGGAGCACACGATTAAAGATGTAATAGTTGTTTTAGTGCAGTAATACATTTGACATCAAAACACAATTTTAATTTGGGAAATCTAACGGAAAATTATCTTTTACTTTTAATTGTTGTTTTCAAGCATAAAAACTGTAGTAGTGTTCGTGCAACTTTATAAAACCTCAGCTATATAAGGACGGAAGTACAGTACGTGAAAACAACGTCCCCAAATAGATATATATGTACAGTATACTTCCGAGCTTTTGTTGGTTTTTTGTCTATAGACTAACTTAGTTGTTGAAGCAACCGATACATTAAAACAGTTTTAAAGGAA